CACCCACACAAAAGGCATAGAGAAAAGAAACCAAGAGTAGAGTAGACAGTGAACCTGAACTTTAGGCCAGAGACACAGAAGTAGAGAGCAGAACAGAGATAAAAAAAAGAGCTTCACTTGGCAGCAGACTCATGTACAAAGAAGCAAAAGAATTAAGGCTAGAGACGCATACATGCATGTTGTAGCAAAAAAGAAGAGGAAAAGAGAGAAGAACAGAGCAAAAAGAAAGCATGTAAATAGCTCTCACACGCAAGCTTCATCTGCTTTAAAGAGAGGATCGAGAGTCTGAGAAAAAGAAGGAATGAGAGCGAGATAGAGAAGAGGTTGGAGAAAGAAGAGAGAGTAGCAATAGAGAGAGAAGAAGATGAAAATAGAGAGGAGATCGAGGAGGACAACACTCAGACCAGACGAAAATGGTGAAGAAGGAGGAGAAGAGACCAAAAGTAGAGGCCAACGATAAAGATTTCAGGAGGTTGGAATGAGAGAGAAATGTAGAAGAAGTTAGAGCAAGAGAGGATGAAAAATAAAGGATGAGAGAGAGAGAGAGAATTGAGAAGGATGAGAGAGGACCGAGTGTGGGAGAGAGGATTGAGAGCTCTGGAGAAACAAAAGAAAGAGACCGAAGATTTGAGGGAGATTATACATCCAAGCCAAAGTACTTGGTGACTTTCACTGTTGGCTATGATCAAGAAAAGAATATTAATACAATAATGAAAAAGTTTTAGAGAACCTCACGATCCTTTTATTTCATTATGACAGACGAACCACAAAATGGGATGAGTTAGAATGGTCGAAGCGGGCTATTCATGTGAATGCTTACAAACAAAAGAAACAGTGGTATGTGAAATGATTTCTACATCCAGATATTGTGGCACCATACGCCTATATATTTATATGGGATAAAGACTTAGGGGTTAAGCATTTCAATGTAGAGAAGTACTTACACCTGATGACAAAGAGTAAAGGTAATCGTGAAGTTCACAAAGTAACAAAGGAAGAACTAAGATGGTGCACAGACTCTCGTCTGCCTCCTTGTGCAGCCTTTGTTGAGATTATGGCTCTTGTGTTTTCATGAGAAGAGTGGCATTGTGTGTGGCATATGATTCAAAATGACCTAGTCCATAGGTAGGGTCTTGACTTCACTTTCAGAAAATGCATCGAGCCTAAATTAACACAGGTTTAGATAAAATATTTGTCTTAAAGATTTGCTAATGCGATTATGGTTGTGATAAATTTTGTGTGCACATGTGTTATAGAAGGAATAGGTGAAATTTGGTTTAATTTTATATAGGCATGCATTAAATGAATGTCTATTCTAACTTGGTGATTAATGCATGTTTAAAACCATTTAAATGCTTAAAGATGGATTAGCAATCTAGTTCTTCAAAATTATGATTTCATGATCTTACTGCTTGCATTATGAGAGCTATTCAAATTTAGGTGTTTGATGATATATTAGTAAATACAAGAGTATGTTCTCAAGTTTTAAAGTATCAGCTAAAGGTTATAGGTTTGAATCACATTTGTTATTCCAAGTTTTCATGGATCACTGTCTAACTACATATGAGACTAGATATGATCTTATACCCTTTAGTGATTAAAGAATATAGTTCAATTGAATTTCTAGCTTCTTGGTATTTGAAAATTTATCATTGTGCTTGCTTATTAATCATGAAAAATTGTTAATTTCATTCTGATTGTTTTGGGTATGATTTGATCATAATATTAAACTTTCTAGCCTTTGATTTTGTCATGTGAGATTTTAAGAATCTGCGTAGACAATTAAAGTGATTTCATGCCGTGTAAGTCAATAAGATTTTATAGGTATGAAAAAATAATTTATATATATAAACTTATACATTAATATGGGTTCCAATGGCCCACAATTAAAATTAACTCTCTTTTTAATTTAAATTAATAAAATATTTATGTCTCATGTGAGATTTCAAGAATCTTTGTACAGATTTAAATTAAGTGTATTGTCATGTAGATAATAAATCCTCGCAAATTTTGTGATTCTCAATTTATATGGTAAATAAATAAATAAATTTTGTAAATAGAATTATCAATTTTTTAACAATAAAATTAATTAATTAAATTAATGTATTAAATTTTTTGGTCATACAAGATTTTTGAATATCTATAGACCTCTAGAATAATCCTCTTACCGTGAAAGTCAATAAGACTTCACAGATACCGTGATTAAGATTTTTATGTTTAAAAATATAAATTATATAATTACGCATTAAAATATATTTAAAATATATATATTATTTAATCCTTTATTGTGTGATGATTTTGAATCTTCACAGATATTTATGATAATTGTATTATCGTAAAAGTCAATAAAACTTTGCAGATATGATAATTAAAAGTTTTTTTTTAAAAAAGTATATATGAATGAACGTACTAAAAAAATAATGATATTATTAATATTTAAAAATTTAAGTAAATAAACTAAGTTGTTAAACTCTTTTATCGTGTGAGATTTTGAAATCAATTCAGATACATAGAATAATTGTATTACTGTATGAGCTAATAAGGCTCTACAAGTATAGCATTCCCAATCATAAAATATAAAAAAATAATTTTAAATTCTTTTCTTTTCACAACAAAAAAATAATTTTAAAATGTTTTCTTTTATTTATTTCAAAAATTCCAAAATTGAGAAAATAATTGAAATTAAATTACTTTTTGCAATTTAAAACATACATATCAAAATTTTAGAAAACCATTTTACTTGCAAAATAGTGATTTATTTTTAATTAATTTCTCTTCAAAAAATATTTTCACCCACAATTTTTAATTCTAAACTACATGAATTTTGATCCCCATCGCAAGGTACGTAGGCCTTAAAGTTCGATTCTGAGTCAAGTCCTCCCATGTAAATAAATAAATATTTCTCACTTAATTATCATTATTTTTATATCAAACACATGAATAAGAAAGGGATAATTAAAATAACTTTAAAACCATATTAATTTAGCACAACAAACTTTAGGTAACCATTCTCACAAATGAGTGTTGTGGGGTGTCTAACATTTTTTTCACACTCAATCAACTCCCGAATCTATTTTCTAATTTCATAGACCATCTTTACTGTCCTTTAAACGATTTCTCAAGATTTTCCTCAAAATTTTAGTGGCAACTTTCATTTCTTTGATCTTCTTTTCGAAGGCCAGAACTTTCGCTCTCGTACGCCATCCGTGTCGCATTTTTGAGTATGACACTCCCCAAGCCATCAATTATCTAGCTTCAACATACTGGGGTTGGACATTCCATACATTTTCAATGCTCAAAACACCATTAATGGCTTGAGACAAAGTATAAAACACTTAATGGATCTCCTATTACTACTCATAACCACAAGACTTTAGTAAAAACCCTACTCCATTTGCAAACTCCTATTGCCATTGCCCATAAACTAAGAAGAAAATGAGAAGAAGCAAAGGAGAAGGATGAAGAAAAGGATGTTAAAGCTTACCCAAGAGGCGCGTAGCTCTTATGTACTTCAAAGGGTCATAAACCTCTAACCCTAGCAGAGTCGAGTCGCCATTTCCTGGTTCTCTTGTCCCTCTCTCCTCATTTCACTATTCCATCGTGAACATATTAATTTGAAAACAACTCAATTTGTCATGGCATATTGCACCTCTTGCCGTGGTGGATAGTGTAGTGGGCAAAGCCCACTTTCATCCATCCTTATTAGGCCCTAATATGGCCCAATATCCCTTGTAACTTACTTCAAGCCTTTGATAGGGTTTTGGTGGGTCCAATACTTTTAAACTAACCTTAATTTACCTAATTTCCAACCACAATCCTTCATTTCATTTCTTATGAATTTTTAAATTAATCTACATCAAGATTTTAGGACTTTACAATTACCCTACCATGGTAATTAAAGGGTTTATTATGGTAAAAAGAACAAAAGTTATTATTTTAGGACCCTACCATGATAATTAAGAGTCAAACTATCTTTATAAAGGTTTACTATGATAGAAAAGGGATTTCTATAAATATTAAAATCATTTCAAAGTGAAGTTGTCATTGGCAATAATGATCCAGCATAGTGGGGTTTGGAATTAATTTGGATGGGAGGTGATAATATCCTAAATTGCTGAGGACACCAAGCAATGGAATAACAAAATATTAGTTTCTTAACACTTATTTGTAATTTAATATTAATTTTTTTATAAGAGAATTGTTTGTAATTTTTCATGCCAATTACTAATTAAAATAATTAAGGTTTGCCAACAAAGGTTGAGTCAAGTAGAAGGAGTCAGTTTTTCACGATATGACAAACCAATATTCAAATTTTTATTAAAAGAGGTGTTTATATTCAGTGCTTGATTGTGCTTTTAATATAATTATTTTCAATAAGAAAATTCTATAAGCAATAAAAAAAAATTAAGGTTTAACATGGGACAATGGTGTTCTTAGATTACATTACACTATCTTGACTTTAGATAACTAGTGTGGTTAAAAAATGTCATTGATAAAGATCCCCTTGACCCTTGATTTAAACATATATCAATCATGCACATATCTAATTACCTACAAGTAATTTTTTTTAATCTTAAAGTAAGAAGAGAGATGAGTCAAAATTTAAAGATAAAACATAACATTGAGAATGATGTGCTTATCTCTATTTTATAATAGGTAAAAGAAGAAAATGAGATATGAGAAATGTGAAGAGAATGAAAGAAAATGATTGAAATTTCAAATGTAAAATATGACAAAGCATAAATTTAGATTTGGATTAAGTTGAAATCCAAATTTAAATCTCATTAATCCAAACACAACATAAATATCAATTTAACAACATTTTTATCAAATTTGATATTGATATAATGGTCCCAAGGGAGACGGAATTGGCATCACTAGAAGAGGGGGAAAAAAAAAATCCTCCAATAATCAATCATCATCATCGTTCCATACAAATCATGTGGTTTTATTCAACTCGACGTGAGTTATATACATACACTCCCTCAGATGACAATGCTAGGGGCTTTGATGGTCCTTTTATGAGCTGGAATTTCACACCATTCTTCCTCTTCGCCCGTGTGCCTTCAATGCAGTAATTTTCTTTCAACGTTTTCTCCTATACCCACCACACCTGGATAATAATCATCTTTCTCTTACTCTGGTTCATTATATAGCAGAAGGAAGATTGGCAAGAGATAGACGCAATCTTTGAGGGTTTGGTCTTCCCCTGTACGTCCATCTCAATTTCTATCAGACCCTTCTCTTCATATGTGCTCTCTCCTCTCGCCTCCATTGCAGCTGCTCCATTTGAATTTGCTTCAATACAATTCTGAAAAATTCGTCTTGATTCATGATTGCGTGCTCCAACTAAACTAGATACCCGAGCTTACGTGTTTGGAGACATTTATGTTCTTTCCTTCAGTGCATTTATGAATCCAGATTTTCTTTGCGTTTGTATATTGGCGTTTTTGGGTCATTGAATGCTTCGAGTTTTAGGTTGTTTTGTGTGATGCAATTTCGCGGCTTTGCTTGAGGACTAGGGTTTTTAAGGTGAAAGTTTATTGTTTTCCGGGACATCTTCTCAAAGGATTCTGTATTTCTGTATTTGAGGTCGTTTTCTTGGTGAATTGCTTCAGTGGTTTTAAGATTGGGGTATTAGAGTTTGAAAGGTATTGGTGTCGGCTATAGTGTGAATATCATTAGGATATGAGTCGCAGGGTGAGGAGGAAGGTCGCAAGGAAAGGAAAAGAGAAGGTGGTCTTGCCAAGTTATCCAGAAATTCAAGATGAGGGCTCGGATTTAGACCCTGAACGAGTTGTTGATTGGAGGGGCTTGCCTGATGACACAGTAATTCAACTGTTTTCATGTCTGAGTTATCGTGACCGAGCAAGCTTATCATCAACTTGTAGGACATGGAGGCTTCTTGGTAGCACCCCATGTTTATGGACTTCTCTTGATCTTCGCTCTCACAGGTTTGATGCCGCCATGGCATCTTCACTTACTCCAAGGTGTGTGCATCTTCAGAAGCTTAGATTTCGTGGGGCTGAATCTGCTGACGCCATAATTCATCTCCAAGCTAGGAATTTGCGTGAAATAAGTGGTGACTATTGCAGAAAGATTACTGATGCGACCCTTGCGATAATTGTGGCCAGGCATGAGTTGCTTGAGAGCCTTCAGCTTGGTCCAGATTTCTGTGAAAGAATCAGCAGTGATGCTATAAAAGCTATTGCTCATTGCTGTTCTCGGTTAAGGAAACTAAGACTCTCAGGCATTAGGGATGTAAGTTCTGATGCCATTAATGCATTGGCTAAGCATTGTCCGAATTTGACTGATATTGGATTCATTGACTGTTTGAATGTTGACGAGCTAGCATTGGGAAATGTGTTATCAGTTTGTTTTCTCTCAGTTGCGGGGACGTCAAGTATGAATTGGGGTGTAGTTTCTCATCTTTGGCACAAGCTGCCTAACCTTACTGGAATAGATGTTTCAAGAACTGATGTCGGTCCATCTACTGTTTCGAGATTGTTATCATCACAGAGTTTGAAAGTTTTGTGTGCTCTGAATTGTCCTATACTTGAAGAAGACACCAGCTTCCCCACAAATAAATATAAAAATAAGCTATTAATTGCCCTTTTTACAGATATTTTTAAAGGTCTTGCTTCTTTATTTTTTGATGATACAAAGAATGGCAAGAATGTGTTTTTGGACTGGAGGAGCGTTAAGAACAAAAATAAGGACTTAAATGAACTTATGATCTGGCTTGAGTGGATCCTATCCCATACACTTCTGCGATCTGCTGAGAGCTCTCAGCAGGGCCTGGAAAATTTCTGGGTTGAACAAGGTGGAGCACTCTTGCTTAGTCTAATGCAGAGTCCACAAGAGGACGTTCAGGAAAGGGCAGCCACAGGTCTTGCAACGTTTGTTGTAATTGATGATGAAAATGCTAGTATTGACCGTGGAAGGGCTGAAGCAGTTATGCGAGATGGTGGTATACGTCTACTTCTTGGCTTGGCAAAATCATGGAGGGAAGGGCTTCAGTCTGAGGCAGCTAAGGTGAATCTATTTTCCCTTCCTGTGTGTAAATGGTCTATCTGGTTTTTTTTTTCTTTTTTTCTTTTCTAGTCATTCTTACTTACACTTCTTCTAGGATTGGTTGATGTGTAGTTTTTGGCTTGGTACACTGGATATCACATATTTTATGCATAATTATACCCTGTATTTGTCCTTTCTGTTGCCTTTAAATGTTTACTTATAATGCTGATAGAAGAAAAAAAAAACTGACCCACACATTATTTGGTATCAAACTTCTTAAATATGTAGGCCATTGCAAATTTGTCTGTCAATGCCAATGTTGCGAAAGCCGTTGCTGAAGAAGGGGGAATTGATATTCTTGCTGGTTTGGCAAGATCCATGAACAAGCTGGTGGCTGAAGAGGCTGCTGGAGGATTGTGGAATCTCTCTGTTGGAGAAGAGCACAAGGTTTGGTTTTCTAGCTAATTTGAATTGAAGTTTTTTTTGCATTTCATATTTAAAATCTTAGTTATGAATGAAGAAGTATTCTGTTTTAGGGTGCAATTGCTGCGGCTGGTGGAATACAAGCTTTGGTGGATCTTATATTCAAGTGGTCCTCCAGTGGGGATGGGGTTTTGGTGAGTTTCTTCTATTTTTTGTGTATGGGCATTGAATATTGCTTGGTCTTTCTATAATTGGAGTTTCTTTGGCTAACTTATTATTTGTGCTTCAGGAACGTGCAGCTGGTGCATTGGCTAATTTGGCAGCTGATGACAAATGTAGTACAGAAGTTGCATTGGCTGGTGGCGTACATGCTTTAGTAATGCTTGCTCGTAGCTGCAAATTTGAGGGAGTGCAAGAGCAGGTAGTACTGCAATACTTTCTATCATTGAGGCTACATCATAGCCAATAATAAATCTATTCTAGCTAAGAATTGCTTCATCTTTTCTATGTGCCAGGGTTTCATGATCACTTTAACTGATGAAGATGTGTCATGTGTCATATGTATATTCTTTTTGTTAAAGTTCCAAGCTCTGATTTTCTAATTGAATGTTTCTTAGGCCTTTGTCCATTCTATTGAGTAAAATGTAAATAAAATGTCATTGAATAATTAATGTCGCTTCTCTTAAACTAGGCTGCTCGTGCGTTGGCTAACTTGGCTGCTCATGGAGATAGCAACAGTAACAATGCTGCTGTTGGACAAGAAGCAGGGGCTCTGGAGGCACTTGTTCAACTCACACGCTCTCCTCATGAGGGTGTCAGGTAAGCTTCAGTCATTCTACTCATTCTCAATATGTGTCTATTAATCTATAGTTGGTACCAAAGTGTAGGAAACAGTAAGAACAGTATTACCAAGCTGAAAGTGGAGAAAATATGAATTAGAGGTGCCTCTGTGTGGCTCTAATCAGAATTAAAACCTGAAACCAGTATGGTAATTACAGCAGAAAAGGGAATAATAACAAAGAAAGGGATCTTGCTCAAGTGTTGACAGTTAGATGTCTCTTTACACGACATCTGAGAACATGCATGCCTTACTTACATTGTTGGCCCCTATTTTTTAACTTCAGTGTCACAGATTCTTTCATCTCTACTACTTTTCTTCCTCTGCCACACTTTCCTTTAATACACTTCAAAGGGCATTATAGGTGCTTAATTATAACTCGCTGATGTGCTACGCATTGTTGCATATTTGTGCGTTCATGTGTCTTTTTGTAATCATCTTTATTCTATTTGATTTCACCTGCCATACTGTATTCTACCTTTTCTACTTGTAGGCAGACTTAAATTTGTTTACGCTACCTCTTGAGGAAAGTTAAACCCTCTAAGATTCTTAGTTATCACGATTCTTTTGACATGTATAAAATGTTTGTATTGATGATACTGCATAAATAATACAGAATTTTTTTTTGGGGGGCGGGGAGTAGGGAAATGTTTAGAGAGAGAAAGGAGGGAGAGTAGAATTTCAGTATTTGATCTCAATTTCTTTTTTTATAATAGCAGGAGAATTTAATCAATAAAGGAGGAATATACAAATGAGGATTACCGAATCTAAATTATAATTCAATAGTCTACTTAATCCTCATGCAAAGAAATGCTCAAAAAAGATTGTTCTATCCTGTTAAATAACTAATAATGTAAACTATGGTAAACTCACACAGTCCTTATTCATCTAAATATCCTAATATATCTGAGTAATATTCATTCTTAACTATGTAATTTACAGATGAATAAACATATCATCATTATGCATCACCTAACTAATCTCACCTACCTAACATTTTTATCCTAGCAAGTATCATCGCAATCTCTTTGACCAGAAGATGGTCTGAAGTTCATTACTTGCTGTCACATATTAAAATGTCACTAACAATATATATATATATATATATTTTTTTTTTTTCATTTAAAGGTAACTGTTAGGCTGTGTTATCTTCGTGTTTCAAGCTTAATGGGCTTCATAACAGAGGGTTTGCTGAAAATCATACTCATTTTTTTTCATGCTTTTAGGTCAAGCAATAAATTGGCAAATATTTTCCGGTTTTGCTTTTGAAAAATCGTTATTTCAAGCTTGAAGGTTATTTGGTTGATTGGAATGCTTCAATGTTTGATTCTAATAATCTTTCACCATATCATCTTAGAAAACAAAGAGATGCAATCAAAATTTATCTTCACCTTGCTTCGGCTCACCCTTGCTAAAAAACAAAAGCACTAACATGTCATGCGAAAAACAATTATATGAAAAATGTTTGATACGCTGTTTTGTTTCCTTACATTCTTTTGCCTCTTGGATTTGGTGGTATAGGACACCAAAGTATCTAAAGTGCTTCTCATTGGTATGACAGTTTAAAATTGCCATAGAACAAATACAAGTGGTTTTTTAGAGTAGTTAGCAAATCTCAAGAGGATGTGATGTGAGAGTCCATACTCCGTTGCTTTTTATGAGCGTCATGACTTATGAGATATCCCCAAAAGAAAGTCATTCTATTACACCTTGATATTTTGGATGGTACCTGACATCTTAAAGAGTAGTGTCCAAATGCAAGCATCTTGGATGTTAATGGACATCTAAGATGTTAGGGTCAAGATAACAGTATATCAAGGAACTCCATAATTTGATGATTTTGTCATCGTGTAATGTTATACGTTTGAAGCTGAACATGTGGTCAAACACTTTAAATGTAATTTATAATAATATAGAAAAGTAAAACTACACCTTGATTAAGAAATGCAAGTGGATAAAAATGACAATTATGATTTTGGTTTCTGTCTACGAGGAGTGCTGCTTAGCATTTTCCAAATTTTTCTTCTAACATGGCTGGGAAAATGAGAATTTATCATTTTGCTGTAGCCTAACGAGAGAGCAGGTTTAAGAGTCTGTTGATAATCTTCTTTGACATTGTTGGTTGCTCATTTGTAGCCTAGTTGACCATGGTGCCAGCATTTAGTGGAGTCTGAAATAGAATCTGCTATTAAGTGGGATACAAGCTGGAGTAGACTTGCTATCTAAGAGTAACTAATCTTTGTTTGTTAAAATTTTTTTCTGTTTTCAAGAGTAACTGACATTTTAAGGTGGTCAGACATGGGAAACAAGAGAGACCTGGTTGCACATTTATCCATTTTGTTTCCTTGGAAAGGATTCTCCTTCAATGCTTTTGATATTACATTTCTGAATTTAATTTTACTTTTTTGCTGGTAGTGCTTGTGATTTCCCCCTATTATAATCCTTACTTCTCTTTGATCTCTACTATGGCACATACCAAAGTGATACGTGGATTCTACTGAGACTTGACCTTGTATAAACATATATCTCTTTTTATAGGCAAGAAGCTGCTGGTGCGCTTTGGAATTTGTCATTTGATGACAGGAATCGAGAAGCCATTGCTGCAGCCAGTGGAGTTCAGGCCTTGGTATGCTATTCGCCTTAGTCATTCGATGTTTCTAGTGTTGTATATTCATGCATAATTTGGCACTGACTTCCAGATATGCAATGTAATTAACATCTGTGGCTTGAGTGTTTTGCAGAGGTTAGTTCGTAAACATTTTTGCGTATGCTGTATATAACCTCCTCCACATATGAAGTTAGAGAATATTTTGTCTGTCGTATAACTAAAATAATTTATCTTGAAGAAAAAATTGGAATTTGAATGAATATATGAATATAGAAAGTAAAACTAATCTTTATATGATATTAAATATATGAATACGTTTTTAGCCAAAGTACATTATGCCAAATGGGGATTGACGTGCATTGTAATTAATAGATATTAGGGAGAATGACAAGCCAGGACTTTGTAAGAACATTAGTGCTAAGTTAGGAACTTTAGTACTGAAAAATGGTAGAAGGAGTATTGAAATTTGGGAACATCAGTGTTGAAAAATTCTAATTTGACATTAATGTTCTCCCAAGGTCCTTATTTGTCATTCTCCCTAGATATTATTACATCTTGGCTTGCCCAATTAAAATTGATTTTGAGGAATGTACCAACCATTGAGGCAACTGTTGACCCTTGTTTTTTGCCTTACAAATAATTTTTTTTTTGTTTAACAATTTTTTTCATATTATTTACCTGTGAATGTTTGAACAGAAATAGATTTTCTTTTATTCCTTTCTCTTCCCTTATTTAAAAAATGAAGAAGAAAAAGAAAGAAAATAAATGAAAGAAAGCAAAGTAGTGAATCAATATGGTGTTCTCTGAAAAAATGATATGTGGGTGTAATGTTGCTGATTTAATTAATTTTACAAACACTGGAGTTACTCCAGGAACTAGGATTTATAGCCAGTTTCCTTAAACGTTTTGCAGGTTTCACTGGTGATATTGGGCAGTCATGATCTTGCATAATTTAACCCTTTTTACTTTATACCTGAATTATTTTCAGATCAGCCCAATCCCATTTTTGGTGTACAAATTTCAGTCGCAAATGGTATTTTGACCCACAAACAATATAATCTTGTAACTGATCTGGGAAATGTTTTGCATTTAACACCTGCTGTTATTTGGGTAGATTATAATAAGGAGTCTTATGGCCATTGTGCAACTGGAAATCCATGCTTGTTAACTTTGTTTATTTTTCCTCGTATGGAAAAATATTTATATGTGGAAATATTTAATATTTATTGCAAATATTATCTCTTAATATATAGCCATTTATTAGTATTTATTAGGGATTACTAGTAATTATTAGTATTTATTACCTGGTTGTATATATAGTCAGTTTGTATCTTAGTATTAATCAATAAGAAATATTATCTTCTCCTAAATTCATGGTATTAGAGCCTATGCATCTAGGGTTTTTGGTTGGGTGTGTCTAGGGCTTATCTTGGTGATGCTTCAAAAGATAAGGCTCTTAGAGTGTCTCTGGTTGTTTCCGTTCATGATGGTAGAGGGCGTCCTAGCTTTCATTGTTGGCCTAGCGAGATTTGCTAGGGTCCGATCGGCGCAGCGCAGCAAGCGATAACAAATGTGGCGCTTACACCGTTGCCTGTAGTTTCTGTGTCAAAGAGCACATAGGGGCGCATATGAAGCCTAGGTGGATGGCAACGCTTGTTTTCGACAACGGCACTGATTTTCCGGTCTGATCTATGGGGTTCTTTGAGTCTTGGGAGCCTTGTTCAGAATTTTTTTTGGTGATGGGTGTCTCATCCAGTGTTGTGTTTCATCACTGTGGCTTATCTTGAGCTCCTATTCTGAACATTTGTGCTTTCTTGATGATTCTAGAATACTATTTTTGGCTTTTCTAAGCATGGTGCTCTTTGTTTATCTTCCATTTGTGATACAGAGAGTGATTTGGCCACTAGCTGAGGATTTAGTTGTGGGACACATAAGAGTTAGTGTCTTCAATGTCGGTGGCTGAAAAGGGTAACTTCCTTCAAGCCTTATAAACCTCATGCACCAAATCTTTATGGATTGTTGACTTTGGTGCCTCCGATCAAATGACTAGCTATCATGAGTTGTTTACCACGTATCCTGTGTGTTGGGTATATTAAAGTAAAGATTGCAGATGGCTCCTTAGCACTTGTGACAGGAAAAGGGAGTATTCAAATTTCAGATTCTATAGTGTTGGAATCTGTACTTCATGTGCATAAGTTGGATTGAAATTTACTTTCAATCAGTCAATTGAATAAGCAATCAAATTGTTATGCTAAATTTTTCCCATCCCATTGTGTGTTTCAGGATCTATCATCTAAAGTGACAATTGAAAGTGCTAAGGAGTATGAGAAGCTCTACTATTTCAAAGTCTCCATTTGAGTACTCACCGATTGTCAGTGACTCTGTATCTACCTCTAAAATTAATGTTTTTGTGTTGTGGTATAAGAGAATGGGTCACCCTAATTTTCATTACCTTAAATAATTGTTCCCAACTCTATGCCCGAACCTAAATATTAATGATAGTCATTGTGAAGTCTGTAAACTTATCAAACACCACATAACTTCCTTTCCTAGAGCCCCATGCACACTCACCAAACCTTTCACAACCATTCATAGTGGCTTGTGGGAACTATCGTATTCCTAATCATACTAAAACAACATGGTTTATTTCCTTTATTGATGACCATACTCTTATCTGTTGGGTTTATCTATTAAGAAAAGAAGCGTGAGGTTGCATCAACGTTTGATCGATTTTTTTCAATATGATCAAGACAAAGTTCAACACCACCGTCCAAGTCTTATATATCAATAATGGCAGAGAGTATTTTAACCAATCTTTGAGCGCTTTCTTCCAAATGCATGGTATTATCCATACTAGTTCTTGTGCCCATACAACCCAACAAGATGGGGTTGTAGATAGGAAAAATTGCCATATACTTGATGTTGCTAGAGTACTTATGTTTACTTGTAATATGCCAAAGTTTTATTGGGGGGATGTTATTTTGACTGCAATTTACCTAATCAACCCATATGCCTATTTGAATCCTATCATTTGAAACTCCTCTCCACAAATTGCAAAGTGTTTTCTCCGCATTTTATATTAAAACCAATCTTTCTATTTGTGTGTTTGGGTGCACAGCTTTTGTTCATAACCACGAAAGCATTAAACTTGAACCTTAAGCTATCAAATGCATATTTCTTGGCTATTTTGCTACTTAAAAAGGATACAAATGCTTTGACTTTGTCTCAAAATATACATCTGTAGGCCTTGATGTCACCTTTCATGAAGATACTTCATTCTATCTCAATCCTTTGATTCAGGGGGAGATTATAGGTCAATCTCAACCTTGGGAACTAAAACCTAATCGAGAACTGATACTTCTTGAGCCATGGTTTACACCAACTAAACCATTACTACCACCACCTTTGGAGCCATTACCTTCGCCTGCTCTACCAGTACCACCATCTCCTCTTATGCCACAACTTAAGGAACACAAGTAGAATGGAGATGTAGAAAGACCACAAAAGGGAGAATTGTTAGGTTACACTTGGAAAAAAAATTGAAAGACAATGAGCAACCTGTACCTGACACACCAAGTGAGGCGGAACCAGAGGTAGTTCCTGAACCTTTGAAACCCGAAGGCTAGATGATACAAAACAAGTAAGTGAATTTATTAATCTTGATCTTCCATTGCTTTGAGAAAGCAACCTCACTCATGTACTTTTCATTTGATAGAGAGATTTGTTTCATACAATGCACTCTTCTTAATATTAGGCCTTTGTTGCTAATCTTGATAAGCTAAAGGTACCTAAGACTGTATAGGAAGCTTTAAGCATCCTTGAATGGCAAAGTGTTGTAATGGAAGAAATGAGGGCTTAGAAAAGAATAGGCATAGGAACTTGTTCAACTACTTAAAGGAAAGAGAACAGTCAGTTGAAATGGGCGTTCACCCCAAAATACAAGGCTGATGGAACCCTTGACAAGCTAAAAGCATACTTAGTTGCAAGGGGGTTTATCCATACATATGGTTTGGACTATGAAGGAACATTTGTTGCGGTGGTAAAATTGAAACACTATCAGAGTTCTATTATCTGTAGCAGCTAATCTTGGGTGGTCTCTTCACCAACTTGCCATAAAAAATGCTTTTTTGAATAGAGAGTTGAAGGAAGAAGTCTGTATGACTCTACCTTTTGGGTTTGATAAAGGTAGGGAAACTTAAGTTTGTAAAATGAAAAAGGTTATATATGGCTTGAAATAGTCGTCGAGAGCTTGGTTTAATAGGTAGAATCCTGAAGTTTGATGGTTACAAACAAGCCCTTTCAGACCATACAATGTTCGTTAAAGTCGAGGGAAGTAAGAAATGTATCCTTATTATCTATGTTGATGACATAATACTATCATCTTGAGGAGATAGAAAGAGTGAAGGCTACCTTCGGCAAGGAATTTGAAGTCAAAGATCTCAAGAAGCTAAAATATTTTTTTTTTTGGTATGGAAATTGCTAGGTCATAGAGAAATATATGTCTTTCAAAAAATTTATACTTGATCTTCTGAAGGAGACAAGAATGTTTGGTTGCAGACCTGCCGAAATGCCTATTGAAAAAGAAGCAAAAAGAGAAAGATCTTGAGGGGCAAGAAAACTCAGATGAGGATGGTGAAGAAGAGGAGGAGGAAACTGAAGAGAAGGAAGCAACAGCTGACAAGGAGAGATATCAAAGACTTGTTGCAAAATTGATATATCTTTCCTATACAAGGCCAAATATAGCATTTGCTGTTAGTGTAGCTAGTCAATATATGAGTTGTCCAATGAAGAGCCATACAAAGGTAGTTTATAGGATTGAGATATTTGAAAAGTACTCATGGTAGAGGGTTGTTCTTCAGAAAACATGAGCAAAAATCTATTACAGTTTACATAGATGCAAATTGGGGTGGGAGCTATAAAAATCAAAGGTTGACCTCTGGTTATTGTTCATGTGTGAGGGGAAATTTAGTTATATGGAGAAGCCAAAAGTAAAGAGTTGTTTCAAAAAGCAGTAATGA